GACCAATTAGGGGGTTTCATGATCGGGGCAGAGGAGAGGAGAATGCGAAGTTTGATGAAAGCTTCCATGCAAGCGTCATCAAAATTGAACGGAACATCCTTGGCTAAGAGATTACACAAGGGCCGTGAGATTTTGCTAAAATCTTTGATGAAGCGACGATAGAATCCGGCATGGCCAAGAAAAGAACGGATTTGACGGACGGAATTCGGAGGAGGAAGATTAGAGATTAACTCAACTTTTGCCTTGTCTACCTCGATTCCCCGCTTAGAAATGACATGTCCTAAAACAATGCCTTCTTGGACCATAAAGTGGCTTTTCTCCCAACTTAGAATGAGATTCGTCTCTTTGCATCTTTGGAGCACAAGAGATAAATTTTTGAGACACGAGTCAAAGGAGGAGCCAAATACGGAAAAGTCATCCATGAAAACTTCCAAGAACCTTTCAACCATATCGGAGAATATGGACATCATGCACCTTTGGAACGTTGCCGGTGCATTGCATAGACCAAAAGGCATGCGTCGATAGGCAAAAGTACCAAAGGGACATGTGAATGTTGTTTTCTCTTGATCTTGGGGGGCGATGGCCACTTGGTTATAGCCAGAATAACCATCAAGAAAACAATAGAAGCTTTGGCCGGCTAACCTTTCTAGGATTTGATCAATAAATGGGAGTGGGAAATGATCCTTCCTAGTTGATGAGTTGAGTTTACGATAGTCAATGCACACACGCCACCCGGTGGTGGTTCGTTGTGGCACGAGCTCGCCCGCTGAATTTTCAACAACGGTGAGCCCGGATTTCTTGGGGACAACTTGTGTGGGGCTCACCCACTTGCTATCAGAGATAGGATAGATGATTCCCACATCTAGCAATTTGATCACCTCTTTCATGACCACTTCCTTCATGTTTGGATTTAACCGGCGCTGGACCTCTCTAGTAGGCTTTGCGTCATCCTCCATATGAATGCGGTGCATACAAATGGAGGGGTCAATTCCTTTCAAATCTGCCACTGTCCAACCAATAGCTTCTTTATGCTCTTGGAGCACCGCTAAAAGGTTGGTCTCTTGGTCTTTTTGAAGGTCCGAGGCAATAATGACCGGAAGGGTTTGCTTTGGACCAAGGAACACATACTTGAGATGGGCCGGGAGCGGCTTAAGCTCAAGTTGTGGCGGAGATAACAATGATGGGACCGGAGGAGTGGTGGAAAGTTGGGGAAGTGGTTCTTTTGGAATTTTCCAAGGAGGTACATCAATGATAGCATTAATATCAAGCAAGGAATTGACTTCTTGAATGGCTTGATCAACATCAAAGTTTGGGAAGTCAAAATGAGACATGCAAGTTTCAAGGGAATCTTTGCTTAGGATGAAGGGGAGAGATTCTTCGACCACTTCATCAATGACATCCACAAGAAAACAATCATCCTCATTGGAGGGATGTTGAGTTACATGAAAGATGTGGAGTTTGACTTGCATGTTTCCAAAAGCAATGTCCATCACCCTGGTTCGGCAATTAATTGATGCATTAGCCGTAGCTAAAAATGGCCTACCAAGGATCACGGGAATGTGCTTTTTTGGGTCATGGACTGGTTCCGTATCAAGAACCACAAAATCTACCGGGAAGTAGAATTTGTCCACTTTGATGATGACGTCCTCAAGAATACCTCGTGGATGCTTGACCGATCTATCGGCAAGTTGCAAAACCACGGAAGTCGACTTAAGATCGCCCAAACCAAGTTGTAGGTAAACCGAGTATGGAATTAAATTCACACTAGCTCCTAAGTCAAGGAGGGCCCTCTCGATTTTGCTGTCACCAATGACGCACGAGATTGTGGGGGCACCCGGATCCTTATACTTCGGGGGAGTGCTGTGCTGAATAATAGCACTAACATTTTCAGTCAACCTCACTTTTTTTGGCAAATGATTTTTAGAAGTGCGCTTTTGAGTGCACAAATCTTTGAGAAATTTTGCATAGGGAGGGATTTGCTTGATAGCATCCAACAGGGGCAAGTTAATCTTCACTTGCTTGAAAACTTCCCACATGTCTTGAATTTTACAATTCTTGTTCCCAAAATGTGTCGACTCTTGAAGACGTTGAGGAAACGGAGCTTTTGGCTCATAAGTAGTTTCCACATTTGGGGAGACATGTGTGGGATATCCGTGAATGGTATTGGGACAAGAATTTGGATTAGAAGAGCTTGAATTTGGATTTTTCAACGGCGAAACTTCCTCACTTTTGTCTCCATCGACCTTGTTGTCCACCACTCTACCGCTCCGAAGGGTGGTGATAGCTTGAACTTGTTCATGAGTCGGCCCACTCGGAGGAGGGGTTTCGTCAATCACATGCATTCCTCTAGGATTTTCAAAAGGTTGAGAGGGAAGCTTGCCCTTGTCCTTTTGAAGCAATTGATTCACCGAGTTAGCTATTTGGCCCACTTGATTTTCGAGATTAGCTATGGATTGAGTATGAGAGTGAACCATTTGGAGAGTAGGCTGCAAGGATGTCAAGAGTTGCTTGTTGGCATCCATTATTTGCTTATTTAATGATTCCATCATTTGCTTGTTTGCAGCTACTATCTCGTCAGTTGGACACACAGGAGGTTGATTGGAGACATTTGGATTGTAAGGAGGACGGTAGCTTGAAGAGGCTTGGAAAGGTCTACCTTGATATTGAGAAGAGGGCTGATTTTGCCGCCCTTGGTTTTGGAATTAGGAATTCTGTGGGGCTTGTTGCCGCCACGAGAAATTCGGATGATCTCGCCAACCCGGATTGTAGGTGTTGGAATATGGATTGTTCCCGGGCCGCGAGAACATGGCATTAGCTTGCTCTTGGTTGGGACTAGGAAATTGCTCCGGTGTGGGGCAATCTTCCGAGAGATGGAATGGACTAGTACATGAAGCACAAACTGAACTTGCCGAATTTTGAGACAATGAAGGAGGAAGATGTGGTGCCATCAATTGATAGAATTTATGAGCGATGGCATCCACTTGAGATGATTCCTCCCTTATTGACTTTGGTTGACAAGGGTTGGTGTTGTTTGGAGTGGTTGCGGTCAGAGCCCTACGAGAATTGTGTTGAAGTGAATTTTCACTCAAATTCTCAAGTAAGGTCCAAGCCTCATCCGCATTCTTGGACATGAACATCCCATCACAAGAAGAATCAACCATGAATCTATGGGTTTCGGTCAAGCCAACATAGAAAGCTTGCACTAATTGCCATTTTGGGATCAAATGATGAGGACACTTCCGAAGAAGATCTTGTAACCTTTCCCAAGTCTCGTGGAGTTGTTCTCCATCAACTTGAGAAAAGCTTAGAATGGAACGCCTCATTTGGTTGGTTTTACTCACCGGATAATACTTCTTAAGAAATTCTTGTTGCAATTGAGCCCAAGAAGTAATAGAGTTGGGAGCGAGGGAGTTCAACCAATATTTTGCCCTATCCTTTAGGGAGAATGGGAAAAGATGGAGATGAAGTGCATTGTCCGGAAAACCTCTCAACCGGATGGTCGAACAGATTTCGAGGAACTCATCAAGATGCTTATATGGATCTTCATTATCAAAGCCATGAAATGATGGAAGCATTTGAATGGTACTAGACTTGATCTCATATTGAGCTGCATCGATGTTTGGCATCACTATGCAAGATGGAGAAGCATAGGTGGTAGGGATGAAATGATCTCTAAGAGTCATTGGCTCGATATTAGGAATTTCAGCCCTTTCATTCCCCGGATTTCCTACGTTATCCCCCATTATATTGAATTCAGTTTCAAGGTCCCTTGTAAGAGTGGGTTCCCTAAGGTTCCGTCTAAGAGTTCTTTCAAGAGAATTGATATCAATGGGCGAATCGATTGTGGGTAAGGAAAGTGACCTACGACCGAACATCAACAACAAAGCATATACTCAACAAAGCAATTCATCAACCACAACTCCACATACGATGTTCCCTTTCTCCTCAATTATCAAGACGGAAAATGTAAATGGCCACGACAAGGACTAATGCTTTAACACAAAATTTAAACAGGATAAGAGCCTCAACAAGGGCTTCACAACTAAACTAAAACTAAATTTAACACATGCACAATATTCACAACTCGAAACTAGAAGTTACGAGACTTACCTGGGGTCCTCTAGACTTACAATTTGCTAGCATTCCCACGGCGAGCTTCGAGTCCCTAGAATCTTACAACACAAAAATGGTTAAACCACACAAGAAATATTCACAAAACACAGTATTCACAATCAAACTAAATTTAACCCTAGAACTTTGGTCGCTAAACCGTTTGCAGTCCCCGGCAACGGCGCCAAAAATTGATCGGTTGGTCAATTAACATCAACCTTCGCAATAGCACGAATCATTGTAAAATAGGGCTATTGGTCGGGTAAGTCGAACCACAGGGACTGTGCTAGTCTAATACAACCTAAATGTCTAGAATCATTCTTAGAATGATGAAGGGTGTATAGAGGTTTTGTTGGATGTCACTTAAGCTAGGAAATTAAAAGTGCATAAAACAATAAATTGCAAGAATTCAAGGGAGTGAAGTACAAGTAAAGAAGGCTAGGGAAATGAATCCACCTCCATCCCTATACACATGCTAGGTTAAGATTAATTTAAGGGGAAAACAACATATATGATAGTCATGATACATAACAATACTAGGTTGCTATAATATCCTTAAGAAGTTCATTTAATTAGAAAGGCAAGACTAAACCATCAAAGGTTCACATGATCAACTACCTAAACTAAAATGTAGCTTAGAACATGCTTACTAAGCCAAGGATTATCAAGCCCTAATTTAAATGGTGAATGCACATAAAGCTAAGAATCAAGTATAGCCCATCAAAGGGAAACCCTAAGCCATGAACTATCTAGGTTCTCCAACTCCATGCCATTAAAACCATTCCATGATCTAACTTCCATTGTCACCATGGAAGTGCAAGCAATATGATTAAGAAAAGCAACCATCCAAGACAAGATGAATAACTCACAATAATCATTTAAAACATTCAACATTCATTACAACAAAAATGAGGCTCTTGACCATGGAAAGACTATCAAAAATACATTGTAATCCCCAAAAATAAACTATACTAACACATGCTTACAAGGGAGGGGTTTCATCACCTCCCTAGATGAGGTTTAGTTGCCCATTGGTGAGCTAGAAGAAGGAAGAAGCATCATCCTCATCTCCATGTTCGAGCTCCTACTGTAGCACTCAAGAACACCCTTCTCCTTGCTCTCTTCTCTCTCCTCTATCTTGCTAAAGATGAAGCTTGATGATATATGTGGCCTTTGGGTAGCCTTTTATGCTCCAACAATACCCTCTCTCCTCCAAGGAACACCTCCAACCACTTCATAAAGAAGGAAGATGGCATTGAGGAAACCAATGTGCAAGTGGGCTGAAATGAGCCATTTCCGAAGGGCATTCTGCCTGATTTTCGAGCACACGCTTGGTGATCTCGAGCACTCTAACTTAGTGCAATGTGCAACATGCTCCTCTTGCTCAGCGCTGACCTATTTTGGGAAAACTGCTATAACTTTGTGCCCCGAACTCCGAATGACGATCTGTTTGAAGATTTGGAGAGCTGATTCAGTGCTTTAAAAACTTCATGTTTTGATGAAGACCCAATTCTCAAGTCTGGTTGGTCGAAAATGGGGAGAAAGGCAGTACATCAGTGCTGCTAGGCAGTTCTGCGCACCTCTGTTGTGAAGATCATAACTCTCTGCTCCGAACTCCGAATGATGAACCACTTGAAGATTTGGAAAGCTGATTCAGAGCTCTAAATCTTTCATGTTATGAGGGAAGTCCAGTTCTCGAGTTTGGAAGGTCAAAATGGCAAGCAAAGTCCAGGCTCTACTGCTGCCAGAATTCAGTATTGGCACCTTTTGTTGCTCAAGATTCCACAAGGCCTTATTCTTGTTCCATTTTGGCCAATGAACCTGAAAATGCATAAAAACATGCAAATGGAGTTAATCTACATAAAATAATTAATAACTGGACTTTGTTAATGTAATTTAGGGCGCTTGAATATACAATATTCGGCGCTTATCACCTTCTGAGGATCTCCAAGGACTACCTCTATAGCTTCGAGGGACTCCTCGGTAGGTGCTTCAGCCTCGGCTTCTTCCTCTGCCTTGAGATACTTGGGCAAAGGATACTGTAACTGCTATTTGATTACGTCTTTGGGATTCGCCTCTAACTGAGGTGATTTCGACGCCTTCTTTGCTTCATATAGCGTTAGCATGTAACATTCTTTTGCAGCAACCTGGTCTCCCCAGAGGTCGATGACCTCCCTGCCATCTGGGGATAAACACCTCATTACTTGATGAAGGGTAGAGGGGACTCCGTTTATACGATGGATCCAACCTCTCCCCATAATGAGGTTATAAGATGGATGAATCTCCGTCACGACAAAGTTCTCCTTCAGAGTCCTCTTTGCTGCAGTAACGGATAGATCGATCACCCCAAGCGGATTCACCTTAGTACCATCAAACCCCATTAGGGGGCTGGAAGTTGGCCTGATGGACGATGGTGAAACCCCCAGCTGATCGAAGGCTGCTTTTGTAATGATGTTGGCGCTACTTCCCGGATCTATCAGCACCCTCCTGATCATATAATTCGCTACTAGAAGGCTAATGACCAAGGGGTCCTCATGCGGGCGCTGGACTCTAGACAGATCATTGTTACCAAATCCAATGTTGATGCTGCCTGGTGCAACCGTGTTTACCGAAGACAATCTTCGTAACTTATGAACCTCTCTCAGCCTGGATCTGTACAACTCTTCAGACTCTTCATCATCCTCTGACCTTCCGTGCATGGCATGGATAACCTTTACCTGACCACCCTCTACCAGTCGAGGGTTAACCTCCCGAGGTTTTACGTACTCCTTCGTGGCGAGATACTCCACCAACTCTCCTTTCACTATTATGCTTTCTACCTGTCACTGAAGGGACCTGCAGTCATTGGTGGTATGCCCATAGTCTCTATGGTAGGCACAATGTTTGCTTTTGTCCCTCTGCTCCAAGGGTTGTTTCATGGGCTGAGGAGTTGCGAACCTCGTCTTATTCTCTTGGAATAGGCGCGCTAAGGTAGTACGGAGAGGGGTAAGCCTGTCCTCTGTCCTTTGCCTCTTCTCAGGCGCTTGGGTGACTTATGTGGCGGCATGAGGAACCTTCTGCATCCTTGTGCTTGCAGCTTTCTCTCGAGACTTGTTTTCCACTGTGACGAGGGTAGCGTGCTGTGCGCGGTGGGCTACGTTTTCCTCCAACCGAATGTAGATTTGTGCCCTAGCGTTCAAAGTCTGCATATCCGGGGGGGAATATTTGATCAAGGATGTGTGAAACTTGGTTCCCTGGATCATTGCCAACTTAAATGTTTCGATTGCCGTGGCAGGGTGGCAATCTGCTATCTCCGAGGCTTCCATGTTAAACCTGGATAAGAAATCTTGCAGAGTTTCCCCTTCCTTTGCCTTATGGTGAAAAGGCTGGCAATACTTTTCTTCTGCTTCTTATTTCCGCAATACTGGGCTAAAAACATAGTGCACAAGGTCTCATAATCAGGGATAGACTTGTGTGGCCTATTCCTGAACCATTCTAACGCTGCTCCGGTTAAACTGGTAGGAAAAACTTTACACATCCACGGATCGTTATGATCTTCCAGTGCCATCTTTTGCGCATAATGATCGAGATGCCGAGAGGGGTCTCCTGCCCCATCGAACTGGGTGAAGGATGGCATAGTGAACTTCCTTGGTCTCTTCACAAGGTACACATCGTCAGTAAAGGGGGTCTTGACCAAGGAGTTCTTGTGCTCTCTAGCCATCTCGGCTGGTGTCTGAACTCTTAATAGCTTCTTTTCGTCGAAGGCATCTTGTACGCGTGCGCCATCTGGAACGCCATTGGACCATACCGTAAGCCTATGGCTGGACTTGGCCTGTTCGTCCTGTGTGCGACGCGGGAGATTATCCGAAGCAACCGCCTCGGACCTCGTCCCTTACTGTTGCTGAACCTCATTAGGTCGAGCCCCGTTGGGTGGTGTCCCGTTGGCCGGAGGCTCGTGAACTGGAGGTAAATTCTGGGTGGGGGGTGGTGCTGCAGCATCGCCTGGTGGTGGTTGTGGCATTAGCCTGGCCATTGCCGTGTGCAGCGTATGAGTTTGCTGCTGAAGCGCAGCTATCTAGGCGACACTCGTATCGTTTGCTTGCCGGAGTGTCTCAAATTGGTGCAAGAACTCCCCTCGCATCTTTTGCATCAATTCTATCTGTTGATTCATTGCTGACTCTCCGTTTGACATTCCAGATACGACTAAGGATTTGATTTGAAGAACAAGTGGGAGTATATTTTTATACGATTCCCACAGACGGTGCCAAAGTGTAGGTGCAAAATTTCGCTCAACCAATAATGATTAAGAAAAATAAAACAACTCACTCAATCAATAGTAAAAATAAACAAGAACAATATATGTCGAAGCGTAGAATTGCTTGATCCCTTTATTGGAGGTCTAAGCCTCTATTTATATACAAAAGATTGTAAAATTATGGTAGGACTCGCGTTACTTGTCCTCCAATTCTTTCTATATAAACATTCTTTACTAATAGAATTCTTTCCATTGTCTAATTTTTCATACATAGAACTTGCCTTGTACAGAACTTCCTATATCAGAATTTTCCTTCTACGGTAAATCCTTCAACCGGTAGGACTTGTGCATTCTTGAATAACTGGGCTGAACATACTTTGATCCGGCTGGGCTTAAGTAACGGACCGGATGTTAAATATTAACAAGTTGGGCTAATGACCTCTTGATTCGGCCTTGATGGAGGTTGGAAGACAAATAACAATGGTCTTGGGCTAAAAATACCCTCAATTTGGGCTTGAGTATGATGGGCCTTATATGTCCTTGGAATGTAAATATGTGTAGTAATGACGTGTACGCTTCTTATTGGAGGGAGTTTTTTCCCTCCACACCAATCATGATGATTCTATTACAAGGCCCACTCCTTTAGGCAAAAAGGTCAAAAGAGGCCTCCAACACCAGAAACTCCATAGTCCATATCACTTTTACCACAATCTATGATTTTAGTTTCCCTTTTTCTTTTTCTTTTTCTTTTTCCATTGTTTTTTTTTTTTAAAGTTCACATTTACTATCATGCCATCTTTCATTCGATTTTAAATAATTTGTACTCAAGTTACTTACACATCAATTAGTCAATAGGAATTTGCAGCTTACAAATTCCGAAATTTCCATTGAATAAATCACTGTTAATTTCCATAAATTCCGAAAGGCCAAACACTTCATCAAATGCTTGAAAATCAATTTTACAAAGTCTAAAACAGATTACTTTCTCTCTCCACACATATTTATCAACTACCCCTTATCGGAATAGGTTCAATCAGAAAATTTTAATTTTAAATTTACTATCATATAAAATTTTCAGCGAAGCTCAACAATTACTATGTCAAATTCACTAAACCGAACCATAATAATCATCAGCGAGTCATTACAAGTTATACCTCTATATATATCATTGTATATCAAGAAGCAGAACTTCAAATATTTAATGTAACACAATAACCAAATATAAAAAGAAATGGTGGCATGAAATTACATATAAGTATGCAAAGTACCATTTTTGAGCAAGAAATGTATGCATAAAAATATAAATTAATTATAATAATAATACCACTCATTTCATACAAGAGAGACATAATCTCATAAAAAATAAATAATAAAAAAAACATGATTTTTAACCACTACACATCTACTTCAATTGACAAAAAAGAGTGTTTTGACCACTTCACCTTGTACTTGGCGACCTCTTCCCTCACTTCCTTCAAATCGCCCTTGGTAAAGATCAACCCAACATTGCCCTAATTTCCAAAACAATAACAATCAATAAAATTCAGTACTACGAACATGAAAATACAATACATATCATACCAAAGTTATTTTCTCGGAAACCAAACAGATGGAAAATGAAAATATAAGCTCAAAGAAATGAAGAAATCAGGGAAGGTACACCAAGTAGAGGGATCAGATTGAGAAATGTCATGTTGCCAGTGTTCTCAGCATGAATCCTGATGGACCTCTTCATCATGGTGTTCTTACCCATCGGAACCACAGAATCACCACGAAGACCCTGACGTATCTGCTGCAACTGTTTCGACCCAACGTTGTCAGCAGCTGCTACCAAGATCTGGTTGAACTCATCTAGAAGTTGGCACAGCTTCTGATCGTACCCGATCTTCTTGTCGGCCTTTGATGCTTTAGGTGCCATTGATTCAGATGACTAGAAAGAGGAAAAAGAGGAAGAAAGAGGAATGTGTTATTTGGGTCTTAAGGGAGAAAGAGGAAGAAGGTAAGAGAGGAACAAAGAAAGGTGTGGCAGTCTGTGGACTGTGAAATGAGATTTTAAACAAATGAATGATGGAGTAGAGAGGGAAAGATAATGCAGAGGAATCCAATGATGTAATGGAGTGAGAAAAAAATGGAGTAATGCAGTCTGCAGAGGAATCCAATGAAAGAAAAAAGATCTTTGGAATGAAAATAGATCTTTGGGCAAGGTTGGGTCTCTCGCCCATGCAATGTGTGAAAACTGTTTTAAATTATAAGAACTCTTTTAAATTAGAAGTCTGAATCAAAACATTAAGGCCTCGTTTGGATTGAGAGAATTGGAGAGATTTGGAGAGAAAAGAAAGGGAAGGATAGAGTTTAGTGTGTTTGGGTGGAGAGAATTGAGAAGAAAAGAAATGATTGGAAAAGATTTGGAGGGATAGGCTATCCCTCCAAATCCCTTCAACAGTGTGAAACCAAATCCCTCCAAAATTGACTAGATTTGGAGGGATTTGGAGAGAAATGGTTCTACTGACAAAAATAGCCTTGAGAGAGAGAGCTTGAGGAGAGTTGAGAGAAAGGGGCCGGCTGAAGCTTAAGAACGGCGACTGAACTGGAACGGCGACCGAAGTGAATATATATATATATATATATATATATATATATATATATATATATATGTATCATTTCAATCAATCGTTGAAAAAATATAAAAACACCTGAAATTCAACACATATATTCAATACTGAATTGAAACAGCGATGAATGGAACTAAACTCAATCTTGATCTTGCAAGGGCCACAATCGGGCGACGAAGGCTTCAAGATAAGGGGAGATTTGAGCGTGGAATTGACGGTGGTTTCGGAGTCGATCGGAGAATCTGAAGAGTCGAAGGTGATAGAAGAATCCAGAGAGCCATGAGTAATTGTCCAATTCGCTTCGGAGCTCCATGAATTGACGTGAGATATTTCCATTGTTTCTACTCTCTCTCTCTCTATCTTTTGAATTTCGATTGGTTCAAGTAGGAGTGTTGTGACTTCTGAATTTTCTTCTTCTGATATAGGGCTTGAGTTAACGAATTTTCTTTTAATATCTTGTGATATATATCTAATAATAATAATAATAGAAAAACACATTTGGAAGATTGAACATCCATTTAGAGAGAGAGAGAGAGAGAGAGAGAGAGAGAGGGGCTGAGAACGAGAATAGAGATGGAGGCTATTGGGGGAGGTTGAAATGATTTGCCCTATTCAGGTAAGATGAAATTAGGGTTTACAAAGGGAAAGAGAAAAAGGGGTAAGATGGTAAATTATTATTTTCTTTCTTTTCTTTTCCATTCATCCAAACAAAAATATTACCCATTCCTTTCTTTTCTTTCCTATCCATCCAAACATGAATATTATTATCTCTATCCCTTCCTTTCCTTTCTTTTCTTTTCTTTTCTCATATAATCATTCCCTTTCTTTTCTCTCATGTGTATCCAAACGAAGCCTAATAAAACAAAACACAACAGGTTTAAAATAAAATTATATATCTACCCATTTCATTAAAGTTTACAAATCAATTCAATGATAACGATTTTTTTTTTTTCTTTCACTTTATCCCATAAATCTAATAAAATTAACTGTATACGGAGTATTATTTATTATAATTATATATTTTTACTTTAATTATGAACCAGATATAAAAAAAATGCATATAGAATCAACGGATAATCTGTATCCAACGAATATAGATTATAATTTGTACTAAAAATTTTAGAACCTTTCTACTTCAATAAGAGGTTGAGTTAAATTAATGTAAAATTTTTAGTAAAAAAAAATCAGGATGATAATGTTAATTTTAAGTATGTTTTGTTGATTAATAAAAAATTAAAAATTTATTATTTTTATTTTATAAGTAATGGTAACTCATTCAATGTGTTAAAATGGTTATAATTAATCAACTTTATGAAAAATGACTACTTCAATATATCAATCAGTTATTACTTACTGTAAGTTGTAATTCTTAATATTGTATACTGCTTAGTTGCTTTCTTTATGGTGTGTGCATAAGGATAGGCTATTTTATTTTAGGGTTAATTACAATGACACCCTGAAATTTGTCATAATAATAATTATGTATTTTTTTTTAATAATGACACCCCTGTCAGAAAGTTAGTCCAAACAATCCTTTAAAAGAGGTGAAAAGTCAAGATTGCCTTTCAATATTTTATTAAATTAAAATATTAAATATTAAAACTCTTAAATGACAATTTTGCCTTATAGCCAAGGGTACACCTCACCAAACACACTCTCCTCTCACCTCATCTACGTCGAAAGAGATCTTGGTGAATCGCCGATCGATCATCACAAATCTTGATGCCTTGCCGACCGTTGATTCTCCACCGACCGCAGAGCCATCGCCGCTGTACCTAAACCAATAAAACACCATCAATACATGTTGCTGCCAGCGTTGAAAGTCAAGATTGCCTTTCAATATTTTATTAAATTAAAATATAAAATATTAAAACTCTTAAATGACAATTTTGCCTTATAACCAAGGGTACACCTCACCAAACACACTCTCCTCTCACCTCATCTACGTTGAAAGAGATCTTGATGAATCGCCGATCGATCATCACAAATCTTGATGCCTCGCCGACCTTTGATTTTCCACCGACCGCAGAGCCATCGCCGCCGTACCTAAACCAATTAAACACCATCAATACATGCCGCGGCCAGCGTTGAAGTTCTTGGCTGGACAATCTTGAAGGCTTAGGGCCTGTTTGTTATGTGTTTTACTTTGGTGTTTTTGTTACAGGGCTCCATTTCAGGTCCAAAAACATGTTTGGTGACACTTGTTTTGTTTTAAACAGTACAAAAATATTGTTTTAAACAGTGCTGAATTTGGGCCCAAAAGTGAAACACCAAAATGGTGTTTTTGGTTGTTTCAGTACTGTAACCCAATAAAAAGTACTGTAGCGGATGAAGTAAGTTGGCCTAACACTGTAGCGGATGAAGTAGCCTTAAAACGGATTTGCAACATTTTGGCCCGATGTTTTCTCTCTCCTCTGAAACCCTAGAGAAGCGATTTGGGAGGCGACAAAAAGAAATCGCGATATACTGTGAGTACTGTCTTCTATTTCCCTTTCCTTTGTTGTTTCCTTTGATGTTGCTTTCCAAATCTGCAAACACGAAGTCGTAAAGCTCAGATTTGATTCTGCTTTGGTTTGTTCAACGAGTGACTTAGAGAGCAGGATTTTCTCTTGATTTTCTTTTCCCCCACACAGGACACGAAGCCATTCTATTCCAAAGAATCAATCAATTTTACAACCAACCTGGAAATCCATCTCAATAAGCGACCTGTGTAAAAAAAATCTATACGTATACTCTCATATAGTCATAAAGACGAATTTCTTTTGACTCTCTCTCTCTTTCTCTCTCTGGTATCAAAATTGTCGAGGGTCTGTGCTTTTGGGCGCCATGGAAGGTTCTTCTGCTCCGCCGTGGATTTCAAACCAACCGGACGGCGGAGCCTCCAAATTTCCCACCGATCTTCCTTCTCGCGGCCTGTTCTCTCCAATGAAAATTCATTATGGGCATTCTGCTACTCTACATGGCCAAGCTTTAAGTTGTAGAACAGGGAATTTTTTTCTATCTATGCTGATAGTTGTGTTGCGCAAATAGAAAATTAGTTCTGAATTTTTTATTTCTAGCTCTTTTGCTTTAATTGTTTGATTCTTACACTTTGTTTATTTCTCATGCCCCATTCTCCAGTTACATTCATAGATGTTAATGCATTCATCAGTGACATTCCTGCATTACATAGTATGTCTATTAGTTTTAATCCTTTGGCAACCTCGTATCACTATTATACTCATTTGTTACTTCACTGACCAGAAAAAAACATAAAAAATAATGTTCAACTACAAAAGATTGGCTGGCATAATTGATTTTTAAATTTATTTTTTTTATTGTTAATCTTGATATTGTTTAAACTATGACAGCAAGAGAGTCATGGTAAAAAATTTATTAACTTCATAAAACGGACATTTAAGCATTAGAAAAAAAAAAGTGAAAATCTGGACCAATGCACTATCAGATGATTATGCTCCACTTGGTCCAGATTGCTGGAGAGTTTGGCTTAATGATGTCATCAAGAGGGATTGTCATTTGTATCAAGCAAAACTATGGCCATGCAGGAGAGTTTCTGCTTCTGCACAAAGGTTGCATTTTGATCCCTAGAGGGGTTCTGTTCAATTCCACATGACAGCACCATTGCCATAAACTTCCTAAAAGTTTTAAAAAATGTGGCAAATTAGTTTTAAAAAATCATCAACAAATGGCCTGAATAGATAAAAATATTTTTATCGGTTGGTCACTGGATTTGCTAGCTTGAAGAAAAAATTTATTGAACCTTGACTATACTGTAGTATTGTGGCATTTAATTCGATAGATAGAGTTTTCATTGATTGAGCATTTATTGGTCCACATGATTGATATTAATTACATTTCACCATGGTTAAAGGAAGCTGAAGGGGTGTGGACATATTTAATCACTTATAGATACTTGTATAGATTTTATGTTCACACCACCATTGATAAACTTTTACTTATTTCTGGAAGCTGTGTGAATCTATCATGTATAGCGCACATATTTCTCGTAAACCATGGGTAATTTTGATCGACAAGGATGAGTCTGCATGGACATTTATGGTAATCATCCAATTTATTAGCACCCTTTGAGCTAGAGCCAATCACACATTTACATCATTCCTTGAATTTTAACATAGATTTAATAATTCGTATTTGTAAATTGTGGCTGGTAGGTTACCTCTTTACTATGTAATTGTTTCACCATTCATCAACTTGCCGCTTGCCCTTTTATATTGTCATCAAATATTTGTCCACAATATAGACATGTCACATGGATAAGACTACAGTACTACACATGGAGTGTCAATATTCTCCGTTTTGCATTCGGGTTGTGTCCTTACTTTTATATAGTAAATGGTGTACTTACTAATGGCAAAAAATAATTAATTAACACTCATATAAACAAATCGAAACCATCAATGGGACACCAGAAATCTTAAGGATCACCCACCGGAGAAAATACAGGTAACTAAAGTATTGCCACTCACATATGAACACCCCTCTCTCTCTATATATATATACCTAAGTAATTCACATGGGGAAAAATAAATGATAAATCCATGTTACATGCCTTCATATTTTTGTTTAATTTGTATC